ATCATTTTCTATATGGAAAGGCAGGGAGTGTGGCTAAGCACAAGGTGGCGCCATGTTTGCATACAGAGAGGGGGCGTGGCTCAGAGCGGGGCGGTCCCATGTATGGAGAGGCGGGGGCGTGGCTCAGAGCAGGGGGGCGCTACGTCCGGAGAGACTGGTGCTGAGGCCGGGTGTTCACCTCAGGATGTGAGCTGCGATAAAGGAGCATGGGGTGGAAGAGGTGCAGCTTCAGGCAAGTGAAGGAAAAGGGCAGGTCGCCCAGCCACGATGTCCTTCCAAGCTTCCCGGCCCAGGTTTTCAAATGTAAATATTACTTCAGATGTTGTAGCTGCACGTAGTTTATTCCCTTCCCCTCATCTTGGCTGTTAAAGTCATGCCCACCCCCTGGGCAGCCAGGCACAGACGAGGTTTGGTTCTGGGGTCACCCCTTAGATTTTAAGTGGCTGCTACACTTGGTCTATAGGAAGAGTGAGACTTTAGCCCTGAAAAGATGGAAGGCTTGGGGCAGATGGTTCCCTCGAGGGCTCAGCCCGCTTTCAGGCCGTAGGCACAGGGAACGTCCAGGGCAGCCCCAGGAGCAGGCGTCCGTCTGAGCTCGGACGAGGCCGTTTTGCAGCCTCCCCTTCCTCAGTCCCAGGTGGTGGGGGCTGTGACTGCCTCGAGGCTGCTCCCTGGAAGCCATTCTCCCCTCCGCCTGTAGCTGTAAAACAGCACACATGAAGAGAATCTTTTTTTGTGCCTCATGTTAAAAAGTTAAAAAAAAAAAAGGTGCGTGACTCCTCACTGTGTTCATTTGTAAAAAAAAAAAAAAATGCTCTTAAGACCCCAGGCGGCAAGGCAGCCTGGCCCCAAAGAAAATATATGCACAACCCATGGGCACAGACAACAGTGTGGTGATGGCCAGAGAGAAGTGGGGGGCAAGAGCTGGGTAGAGGGGGCAAAAGGGGGGAAATAGGGACATCCTATATAATAATAATAAAAGGCTAATATGCACATTGACTGAACAGCAGAATGGCCGGTTGCTATGATGCGCACTGGCCACCAGGGGGCAGACACTCAATGCAGGAGCTGCCCCCCTGGTGGTCAGTGCACTTCCATATGGGGAATGCCACTCAGCCAGAACCTGGATCATGGCTGGCCAGCACAGTGGTGGTGGCAGGAGCCTCTCCCACCTCCATAGCAGCACTAAGAATGTCCAACTATCAGTTTAGACCTGATCCCTTGGGGGCCTAAGCCTTTAGTTGGACATCCCCCGAGGGCTCCCTGGCTGCCAGAAGGATGTCTGACTGCAAGCTTAGGCCCACTCCCCCGGGGGTCCTGTATTGTGAATGGGCGCAGGACAGGCTGAGGGACCCCCTCCCCGAGTGCACAAATTTTTGTGCACTGGGCCTCTAGTATACACTATATTGTCCTAAAATTCTGCAAAATTCATGTATTCTGAAATACATTTGGCTGCAAAGGTTGCATGTGATTTGTAATGATGATTATTTTTGATATTCTGTAATTGTAAACACTTTGCAGTTAGAAATATAAGATTTATAACCTAGTTATGAATGTTAATCTTCAATTTTTAGTTATAGATTACCTATAGTCATAATACATCAATGAAATATTATTAAATTATAATCAACCAGAGGCCCGGTGCACAAAAATTTGTGCACTCGGGGGGGGGGGTCTCCATTAGCCCAGCCTATGCCCTCTCGCAGTCTGGTACCCCTCGGGGGATGACCACGTGCTGGCTTAGGCCCGCTCCCAAGGGGATTGGGCATAAGATGGCAGTCAGAAATCCCTCTGGCAGACTGAGAGCCCTGAGGGATGTCCACTTGCCAGCGGGAAGCAGGCCTAAGCTGCAGTCGGACATCCTTAGTGCTGCTTAGGAGGCAGGAGAGGCTCCCACAACCACTGCTGTACTGGCAGCTGTCAGCCTAGCTTGTGGCTTAACAGAGCTCCCCCTGTGGGAGCGCACTGACCACCAGGGGGCAGCTCCTGCATTGAGTGTCTGCCCCCTGGTGGTCAGGGGTGTGTCATAGTGACCAGTCATTCCCAGGTCATTCGGCTGTTAGGGTCAACTTGCATATTACCTTTTTATTATATAGGATAGAGACCTGGTGCATGGTTGGGGTCCAGCTGGTTTGCCCTGAAGGATGTCCCGGATCAGGGTGTGGGTGCTGCTGGGATGCCTGGCCAGCCTGGGTGAGGGGCTGATGGCTGTTTGCAGGCTGGCCACAGCCCCTTCAGTGTGGGGGTATGCAATGGAGTGGCTGGGGAGCCTGAGCGAGGGGCTATGGTTCATTTTGAAGGTTTGGCAGACCCACTTTCTGACAGGTAGGCAATCTCGCTGCGGGGGTCCGGTCCCAGCCGGAATTGAAGGGAGGGGGTATAGAAGGCCTTGGAAATCGTTCCTACTATACCTCCTTGTATGGGGCAAGCTCCCCTGTAGCTCTCCGGACCACAGGCCAGGCTCCATGGACGTCTTCAACTCGGACATGTACCTCC